TGCCATTTCGTACCAGGTTGAAAATCCATTAAATGTAAAGACCTTATTGCAGGGTTATATTTTAATATGTTTCTAATTTGTTCGGGTGTTGAAACATCACCCGCGTGTAATTTTAACGTTGATAATTGATCCAATTCATCTTTATATGATCTTTGTATTGATTCAATTTTTCTCTCTAAGGCCATCATTTGCATATTTATTCCTCTAAACGCCTCTTTAAAAGGTTCAAATTTACATGATTGTAAATGCTCGCATAAATGTCTTCTTTCAAATTCTTCTAAACATCCTCCAAAACTTCCTAAAATATTCTTGTGTGGACAATTTATTTTCTTATTTAAACATACGAATTCATGCTCTTTTAATTCATGATGTAATAAAGATTGATTACACAAGGGACATGTTACCGGTCGATTGATACATTCTTCTGATATATGTAACTGAAAGATTCAAAGAATGTCATTTTTTTTTTTTTTAAAAAAAAAAAGGTAAAATGAAAAGTAAAGAAAGTTATGTAACTTACTTCAAGATCTTCTAATTCGTAAAATTTTTGTTTGCATCCTAAAGGACAACCGATCGTTTTATGTGGGCATTCTCTTCGATGATTTTCAATATCTTTACGTTTTAAAACCTCTTTACAATCCTGATGATTTTCATGCTCGTTACAATGTACAGGAATCAATTGACATTCGATCTGTTAAAAAAAAAATTGGTTGTTTTTAGTAAGTTCTTTTCTTTTCCCTTGCTTTTTTTAAAAAAAAATCATGGGTACTTACTTGTAAATGAGATTTTAAATCATGTCTAGTACCCTTCCAATCACATTCAGGAGAGAAGTTGCAATACACGATTAACCGATCCAAATCATTTTGTACGCTAATGTCGGAATGAAATTCATTTTCAACGCAATGAGTTCTACAAATTGGACAAGACTTATTTTGAACCAATGCTTGCGATATACAAGCGTAACAAAATAAGTGTTTACATTTTTTGGTTCTTTTTACTATATCAAAGACATCATGACAAATCGAACAAAATAAATCTGGATTTATTGAATCAGGATCGATGTAATTATATTCTTCTCTTATAATGGTAAATGAAGGTCGTTTCGGTCGGGTCGTTAATGACATCTTATGATAAAAAAAAAAATTTGGGTGCAAGATTGCAAATTCGTTGAACGTTAAATAAAGTCTCCTGTTATTTATTTGAAAAAAAAAAATACGTACAATTAAATTTATATCGTGAAAATTGAACGAGCTCGACTTTAATTAATCAAGCTTAACAATGATGTCTTATAATAAACAGATAAAAGAGGGGGATAAATGAGAGTATATGATGTATGGGAGGGAGTATACGGGTATAAAGTTTTTTTAAATTTAAGTTTTTTTTTTTATTTCAAAAAAAAAAAATCAAAAAAAAAGGCTGGTTTTTAAAAAGTTTCATTTATGTGCCGAATTTAGATTAAATTTATTGAATTTATTCGGAAATACTGTAAGTGCATCATCACATTACATAAAAAGGTCGATTTATAAATGTACCACGAAATAATTTATTTTGTGCAGCCACACATCACCTTTCTTAAAAGTACAAGATAGAAATTAAATAATGCAAATAATAAAATCATCCAAAGTTCTTGGCTCAAACTTTGATGGTATTTTTGTTTTTGTTTAAACTTATTGTGATTGTACAAATGAGATGTCGTATGAGTTTCGCATTTGTCAATGTTTCAAAAAATTTAATTGATAAGCATATATCATTTTACCGTTTTACCGTTTTTGCAACACCTTTTCATTCTTATTATAAAGTTCCTTTATTTGGACATTATTTATAAATCATTCCTTTGATTTTTTCGCGTCATGTGAACGATTTGCAGGAAATAATAAAATGCGTTACACAGCAATCACATCAATTACAGAAGCGGATATTGTAATAAAAGAAACATGTAACACCGCGAAATCCTACCTTGAAATCCCAATTAGATACTGCGCATCATTTGAAACGGGTTCCTAAACACGGAGATTATTATCTCCTCTCGAAGGATTTCTCCATGTGATTTTTTAATACCGAACGTTGACGGTCAAAACTTTAAAAGAATTGGTAAACAATGGTTGTGTTTTAATAAACATTAATGTAAATTCATGCAGGTAAAGGTAACACGAAAGCCATCAAGTTGGTAAATAATACTTTATATTTGTACTTTAAAATATTGCATTTCAAAGGATAACTTGTCTTATACCCATAATTTAAATTCTCGGATGTCGGCGTCAGGAGCTGGAATTTTGTCCACCTGTCGACGATTAAGTGAGAAGCTTCACCAACAATGCTAATAAAGATAGAATACTTTTGACAAATGTCTCAAGGGAATTTTATTGAACATGTTTATAGTAAGTTAAGAATAATATGTTTACCGTGTCAAACAATGTTTTAGAAAGGAAATTGTAATATATTTGCTATATCCGATGACGTAAATTTTGCGATAAGACGCAGACAAAAGCCCAGCTTTTGTATCAAAGAAAGTGATAAAGGAATGAGTAAAGCATATTTTTGAAAGGAAAAAATATTTTTTTTTTTTTTTTGGTGGTTGAATTTATACGCAATTTTGTGCATAAACCGATACATTCGTAAAACTTGACATCGTCTTCTCAACTCAATTCAAATGTTTTCAATCCATTGTTGTTAAAATGATTACTTGGACTAATGATATGGAAAACAAAACCTTTTTTCTACCAGATCACGAGTTTTTCTTCATTGGACTATCTCTTAATATGTGACCTATTGGAACAGCTGAGACACGTCTAATAAAATTTTTCAGCCAAGGGACAATAATGGTTACGTGGCAATTCATGATAAAGAAACGTAAGCTATAGAGGTACCGAAAGTTCATAAATGTCATACAATTTAATCAAATATTATTTGATAATCCCAAATTAAAAACGCAAAAGTACATTTGGCTTTTGGCCAAGTATAATGACACAAGGAAAGAGATTACCAAATTTCTAAAAGATTTGGTTAAAGAAAATCCTGGTTATAAAGTCATTAACACCGGAGATTCCTTAGGTGGTTCATTAGCCGTGTTTCAAACCTTGGATTTAATCGGAATCCCCGGATTAAATCCTTCTATTCTAACCCTTTAACTTATGGTGAATCACTGGGGTGTTTAATCAACTACAGTCAGACTTGTCTATAAACATCACTTTGGTCACATAGTAATTTGTAAAAGGTTTTACTATATTGTGATAATATAGAGGTATTTTTTATTAATTTAATGATTATAAAAGGTTTTATATGATGTGATTATAGGTGATTATTGACAGGTCTGACTATATTAAATAAAAACTATTTATAGTGTCATATAAAAGTTTACTATCGAACCTTTTAATATATTAATCTTATTTATATCCATCTTGTAATAATTTACATATTAAAATCGATAAATTTTTACATTTCCATAACTTTGGATTCTACATTTCTTTCGTATTCCTAATTTTGCAAATGTATTATAAATCTTTGACTCTTTCATGGGTTTTTCAAAAAAATGTCTATATACTGACCTTTTTAAAGGTTTACTGAGAATTTAATTATTTGCATAAAAACTAATAAAGCATAATTTATCAATTCGTATAAAATGCCATCAATTTCAAGAAAGGCCGTATTAAATGCTAGAATTTATTATACTATGCATATCGTAATTACAAAAAAAAAATCAGTAGTAAATTTTTATATGATACCATATATAGTTTGATTTAATTAGTTGACTTAACACCCGGTACGGATAATAAAGCTTTCGTTGATTTTGTGCAGAGCACTGGTTATATATACATTTTTAGAGTTTAAATGATATGACTCTTACCTTCTCAAGATTTAAATATGGATTATTTAATTTTCCAACGAAATCTCATTTATTAACAATTTACTTGAAAAAAAACGAAAAGAATTGTAGAATATCCTATAGGGAGCAATCTCAAGTTTCAAATTTAACATTATTAAAACATATCAATTATTTTAACACTGCATTCGTTTTAACTTTTCTAGTTAATAAAAAAAAAATCTCGTTATTAAGGTTTTGAATAAAAGAAATACTTCATTCAGACTGTCATTGTCGAAAAAATTGAAAATTTGTAATACATAATACATCTTTTCAAATGATTAAAATTTTTTTTTTAATATCCATTCATTAACATAAAATGCTTGCACTAAGTCAGATTAAGAATATCATAAAATCAGGAATAAAAATTTTTATAGTCACCATGATATTTAAACCTAGCAAATTCACGAAACGTTTTCTTTATTTTCTTTATACAAAAGAAAAGCTCAAGATAATGAATGGGAAATATATCTTGCCATCACTCTCTTTTGAGAAGAATGAGAAGAAAAGGGAACGTTCCTTCACGTATAAACTATCACTTAATGATTTTCACAGGAACTCTTATAGTAAGTTTAGCATTTTTGTTGAAGCGGGTAGTGATGCATAATTTTTAGTAGTCAAATGAGCTAAAATTGATTTGCACGAACGATGATGCGTTAGTGAATTTATCAGATTATGAAATAAATATTATAACTATAAAACAGTCTATTCACATTCTAACAAGTTAATAGATAAAAGAAATTTCCTTTTTTAATAATGTTTTAAAAAAGTGATGATGATTTTCTTTAGTGATTTTGGTTCACCAAAGCAATAAATTATTATATTTAAATTAAACCTTATTCTAACCCTAAATTTCCATTTTTACGATTTTCTGCATTGATTATATTATGCTAGATGCGCCTTTGTTTTTCATATTACAATATTAATAAAACAATATAAGAAAATTTATTGATTATTCAAAATAAGTCATAATTAAAAAGTCTTGTAACATTATTTACACATTTTGTGTAATCAGGATTGTGTAACATTCCATTTTTAACGTTTATAATGAAAATAACGGAATTTCATCAAATTATTTTTTAAACAAAAACTTTTAAATATTTTTATCCACGTTAAAATTTTTAATTTTTTAATTTTTATAATGTCCGCGGATCATCCAGCTGATGGTGCTCAAGCATCATCAAGGAGAACTAGAATTGCTAATGCATTTAATACAATGTTTGATCATTCTGGAGAAGTCTTAGAATCGTCGCTTAACAATACAACAGCAATTGTTGGTGCAGCAGAAACCGCAGTCAACGTGGTAATACCATTTGCAAGTTTTTTACCACTTATAACAGAAGTAACCAAAGTATTCAATGAAATCATTGAAATATATCAAACAGCTGAACATAATAAAAAAATATGTGGGATAATGTTGGATAGAGTCCAAGTAGCTGATACGGCCGTAAGAAATTTAAAAAACCGTAGGGAAGATAATATAAAATTCTTTTCGGATGGAAATTTATTTAATTTACAAAAATTGGTTCATGTTATTGGTAAAATTCGTAAATTTGTTGAAGAAATTTCTCAGTTAAAAGGGTTAAAAAAGTATATTCAAGCAAAAAGTATTGAGAAACATGTTAAAGACTTAATTAATGAATTTGATTCTACCATACGCCTTCTGCAATTTTCTTTGATGGTTGATTTTAACGTACGTGCTGACAAAGATATTCAAGATATTAAGTCTGATATCGAAGATTTAGATCAGGTAACGTATAAGTACAATTTAAAATACATCATTTGGTGTAATCTAATTTTTAACAAATCTTTTACGTAATTTTGTAGTATCTTAATAATATTGGCAGTGGTCTAACTGACATAAACAAAAATGTCTCGGAAATAGTCGTGCAAATTAGTACCCTTAATGCTACAGTGAATCAAATGGCACAAAGTAATTCAACAGATAAATCAGATGTATTCCAAAGTGAATTACTTGAATTTAATGAATTTGAAGAAGAAGGTGATCCCATAGAAGGTCAAAATGTAAGAAAATACAAGAGAAGCAAAGCTGGATTGAATTATTATGTCGCGTTAAAGTTAGCGGCTGATAAAGATAGCGGTATAGATGATAAAAATAGTATTAAAAATCAAGTTACAATTTTAAAAAAATTGCAAGAATGTGAATGTATTCTTCAATACTTTGGTTTAACTGCAGACGGTGATAAATTTTATTTGGTGACGGAATGGGCTGATTATGGCAATTTACGTGAATTTTATAAAACATATGGCCCACTTAAAGTTAAGCGGAAATTAAGATTTGCTCTTGACATTGCTAGAGGATTGAATTTCTTGAGATCTGTTTCGGTAATTTTTTTTATATCCTTTCTTTTTTCTTCCTTTTTTTTTTTAAAAAAAAATCTTTCCATCCCAATCCATTTGTTATTTTTTTTTTGGGAAATATCTCGTAGATTGTACATCGAGACATAAGAGCCGAGAATATCTTAATTACAATTCATAAAGCTGCCAAAATTGCAAATTTTAAAGCAAGTCGATCAGTAACCGATAGTACTAGGAATCAAAAAGCAACATTAGAGGCTATACGATATTGCGCTCCGGAAAAGTTGCTAAATGGGGAAAAATATAAATATGATACCAAGTGTGAAGTTTATAGTTTTGGTATACTTCTATGGGAAATTGCTGAAGAAACAACTCCTTATGTGAAATTGGGTGCTGATATTATTGCTATACAAGAATATGTTTGCATCAAACAATGCCGTGAATCATTTTCTTTCGGTTCTCCCTTACCAAAAGAATATATAGAACTTGCGATACAAGGTAATATATATACTGTATATATATATTTTTTAAAAAAATATCTATTTGTTCTTTATATTTAAATACTAAACCTCTGTAAATTTACTTTTATTAAAATATCTAGCTGTTCATTACGATCATAACTTTCGACCTCAATTTTCAAAGATTTTTACCATACTACAAGATCTTTGTAAACCACCGCCATCACCTCGTATGCCTCCTGTGACAATTAGTTTTGATGTTTCTGAGTGTGATCGCTTATCAGATGATGAAGGAGAAACGATCGGCCCAAATTCTGCAGATTTTGATTTCCTGACAGTAGATGAAGCAGCAAAACAACATAAACTTCCTAAAGGCCAAGGAAAATGCGAATCAGCTTACAAATGTTTTGAAGCATATGCAGAATTAGGCGATATTAAAGCAAAATATATGAAAGGATACTATATTCAACAAAAATTAGTTAACCTTAATTTGGACCAGGCAGAAAA